TGTTGTCCAGGCGGTCTAGTCTAGAGAGAACTGGTTCTTCCATAGTGGCCAATTATTTTGGTTGGTTTTCGTCCCTCCAAAACTTCTTCCAGCCAAAAACAAAAAAGATGAATTTTCCAGGGAATCAAAACTGGCCCTTTAATTTTCTCGTCTTTCCTTCCTTGGTAGGAATTGAGGGGATAATGGCAAGATTAAGGAGTTTTTATCAGCACTAGCTTAAACGTGACACTTGTTAAATAGTGAAGGGGTTCTGGTTACATAGTTTCAGAACTAAGAACACATGGCATGAATGTACAAATGTTATGAGTTAAGAATGATGTTCTGAGTAACGAAAATGGGACACGTACGATGCTTCATGCAGTGGATTTTGTAGATACACGTGCCCCATGATACGTGCAGTGGACTATGTATTAGAACATTCTAAGGACATGTAATATATATATATATTTCATCAAAAAAATTGAGCAAAATAAATCATGAATTGTTATATTGCTTCCAAATGACTTTAGATAAAGCCATAAAGATTTTATGAAAAATGGAGAAATTTTTGAATAACAATTGTTCAAGAAAACGCAACAAAAAGTTGACCACATGCTGTCACAATGGCAGGCTAAATCCTTCGACCAGGGTTTTTTTTTTTTTTTTCCAGTAGGAAATCACTCAAAACTTATCCAAGTTTTTAAGTAAATGCAAATTTGTTCTTTTCTCATTAATTGATTGACATAGTTTTTTTTTTTTTTTTTTGCATCTTATCATACCCAAAAGTGTTGCGAATTATTATTTTCTTTTGCATTGTTTAGTGAGTAAATCTATTATACACTGACAGTATACACATTATCATGATTGGATGCATGATACGTATATAAGATTTGAGTTTCAAATTTAAATTCGAGATATGTGTCATGTATTTAATGATGAAAGTGTATACATCTTCAGTATATGAAATATTAATCCTTATTTTATTACCTAAACATGGGGGGCTTTGAATTTTTCTTATTCTAATCCATGCAAATACCTATCTCATTACCACTTAGTATATAAATTTGTTGATAATTAGAAAGCGAATACACACACCCTTCTTTAATCCGCGATTAAACACTAATTTCCTAAACCTAGCTATGGATCAAACTAGTTCTAACAGTAGTTTGAAGAATGCTGTTTGATACAATAAAAGATGAAAATCCATTCTGATAGACATGATGATATACATTGTAAGATTTTGAAACTCATGTCGTTCATTGAATCAAAATATGGACTGGATTAAGGACCATTGGTTCAAGCTAACCATAATTGATTCATGTTGTCATAACTATGTTATCATTATTTTTGTCATTAGACATATACTTACAAAAACTAATTGAGTTTTCATTTATGTAATAGCATTTTTATCAGATCCAAATGCAAAGACTTCTCCTATTGATAATGTGGACCGTTGATACTCTGTTTCTTGATTTAGTGGTACTCTACTATGATTTTTGGGGAAAAATCCATTTTTCATCCTTAAACTTTGTGACTAAGACACATTTGGTCCCCAAACTTTTTGACCAGACACATTGAGTACATGTATTAACTATTTTTTGCCACATTTAGTCAAAAAACGGGAAAATTTTCAATTTGGACGGTGAAACCCACGTGACCGTTAACTTATGCATCGGGAATCAATGCAAGTCAGACTAAAGTCCACACATTCTCTCTCTAATGCAAGTCGACACAAAATGTTGACTAAAAGTACACTCAAAGTCTAAGGGTGGAGCTCCTAAATGATGAGTTCTGAGGTCTGCAGTTTTTTTTTTTTACAATGAGCTCTTCACAGGGTAATTCTTACATCTTTTTGTTTATTGATCTCATGTAGCTCTCTTTTTGGTAGTTCTTGTGATCACTATATTTATTGTTTCTAAAGGTTCATGTTCATGGACTGATATAGAGTCTGAATAATTTGACAACATTGATAAGCGTTCAAGAAGACTGCTGAGATCCCAAAACATGACAAATTGTTGAGTCCCAAAGTATGAAAAAATTGCTAGTTTTAGTCCATTGGTCAAGTCTTCTGCAAAGCTTTTTTTTTTTTTTTTTTTTCAGCTGATGTAGCTATATTTTTTAGCAAGTAGTTGTTGAGATTTTGAGATTTAACTATTATAAACGAGGGCGGAAGAGGGAGTATAAGTAAGATATGTCGAGTTTAAAACCTTCAACTTATACTAAAAACAAATATAATAGATGCTTTTTGCTCCCCATCGATAAAAATGCTTTTTTAGCTTAAACAAGTTTGAGAAATCAAATTAATGCATCAAGTGCGGCCTATTCTTCAATATAGCTATGAATCATTTAAACGAAGTTAGTTCTTTAATCATTTAAAATGAGGGATAATAACAATGGATGGTCTTACAAATATTTAAGGGATAAATATATTTCTTTACCTAAAAAAAGAAGTTTCTTTACAATCCATTTAGCCAAGGTTATAGTATTGCATCAGTCAAAAAGCTGGCTGGGACCTCGATAATTGTTAAGCATGTCATAGAACTTGTACAATTTTAACCACTGCACACTTTTTTTTTTTTTGATAAAAGAAAATTTCGTTAGCATATTATTGAGAATCATCCAACATGATTTGATCTATATCGGTACTCTAATGAGCTGGTTAAATGTGCACTAGAAATTACAGATTTACAATTTAATAAGTACAATAGATCTGAAAAAATACAAATTTCATAATTGTCTTATGATATATATATATATATATCACTATTGTTCCTCTTTGTGTATGTTGCAATCTCTAGATTTGCTAATTGGTAGTTTTAAATTCTAATAATAATGATGAAATGTGTCGAAATAGATTCAACATCCAAAAGAATTTAGAATCTGACAATCATATATGAAATAGCCACTGCACACATTGTTCTATGAAAATGTATATCAGTGCATGTCTATCACAATTCATACAATATGTACGGAAACATACAAATCATTTGTGGTCCAATGCGGACCACGAACTATACCCCGATCCAATTAATCAAACGACAATATAATCTTGTTCTAGATATTTTCACATACATTTCAAGAAAATTTCATTGTGATACTCAGTTCTCGTAGGCTGCTTGAAGGGAAAGGAGATACACTTTTTCTGAAAATATTTCCTCTTGTTAGCACAGAGAAAAATTGCCTTTACAAATCAAATACAGAAACACATTTCAAAGAGTTGATCCATTCTTTTGTAATCTTTAGATCTAAATACTAATTATTAAAATGCTAAACGCAAGATCACAAGGCAATTGATAAATCACTTTCTTTACCTTTTCTCACAACTATTTTTTTCCCCTGTAACCAAAATTTCAATGTTGCATGCTTAAAACCAGGAAAAGTTAGGTTACCCAACTATGGGAGTGGCATGCAAGCAAAGGATGATGTTGGGAATCCAACGTGCCCCATATCACTAAAGCCCTCCAATCGTACCAACTTCAAGCACTGACATTTGGACCACTACCATAGAAGAGATTACATAGTTTTAAATTTTAATTGCTCTATACAAATTGCTGACATAGGTTATGGATTCCACTTTAGTTTCGATTAGAGTATCCACTGAAATTGTTTGCAAATAACAATTATGGAGAATTTTGATGCTAAGTTGTTGGCATACAGATGAGGAAACACACTTGGAGGAGTGAAAACAGGCACTAGTCCATGACAATTTGTATGCATATATTTTATAATGAATGCAGGCACCAGTTCCATATTAACGCACACTGGAACGCTTGAGTTTAGGGCTTGTGCCCTTAGCGTGGGTGACAGCACTTTCGGCATGAAAAACACCCTCAAAAGGGAATAGGACCTGTTGTATTGAAGGGAATAAACATCCAAACTGAAATTATAAAATGAAATAAATACCTAAAAGATGAAACACTATGAAGATGTGTAAACCTATAATAGGAGCAAAAGCCGCATCTACAAAAGAGGGCATGAAAGATAACCCTCACGGGATGAGGTGATAGCACTTATGGCATGAAAAATAACTCTCACGGCATGAAAAATAACACTCACAGGATGATGTGAAAGCACTTAAAAAAAAAGAAGAAAAGAAAAGGAACACCCATGATAGGAATCCGAATAATTAACATTGTCAAACTATGGAATACCGATGACCCGTTAAGGGATTAAAAGCTCTAATACGATGTCAGAATGATGATCAAAAAATGAGAAGAAACAGTGTGTATTAATAAAATGGTGTTCTAGCATAAAAGTACCAAAAATCTATATTTATAGGTGTACAAAATATGTAAAAATAGAAAATTAATCTATTGAAAGTAATTTATACAATTTGAAGATATCATTAATCTCCAATCAATTATTTAAAATTAATACCATGAATGTGGACATAACACAGACATTAGCACCTTCAATAAAAAAATGTTTTGAGAACTTTATGTTTCAGGTGAGCGTTTTGATTCTAGCTTGTTTCAGGCTAAAGAAAAAGGAATGCAAAAAAGAACTTTGAACAATTCTTTTGAAAAAAAAAAAAGAAAAGAAAAAACGGTTGAAACAAAGAAGAGGATGCACTTCTTTTTGTTCATGGAATAGGAATTACGACAATTACGTATGACGTAGATAAAGTAATAGGCAAAACAGCTTATCAAATGCCTGCACTCATATTTTGTATTTGTCTGAGTATAGTTATAAGATACCTCTTCAGCTCTTCTCCACTGCAGTGCATGAATAATGTAATATTGATATATCCTACTGTTTTTATTACGTAATTTAGAAGATCTTTCACGTAAATTGTTGTCACACTAATACATCCGCTCGACACGTTGCTCTTCTTTCTTTCTTTTTTTTTTTTGGCTGTTTTGTACGTGATGCATCCATTCATGATGTCGAATCGCACTAGATATAACCTTAAAATTAAGAATGGAAAAATTGTGTGATTGGCTCTGACTTTACGGCCACAGAGTTTTTAACAAGTATAAAGGGTTCAAGAATTGATTCTTATACGCCCAAGTTAGGTTGAGTCCTGCTTTTGTGCATGAAGCTACTGAAAAAGAGAGGAGTTGGTGGTGGAAAGCTTGCAAGCTCTGCTTTCCTCTAGACCAAATTTCCAAAGGTAAGTAATCAACAATTTCTCAGTTATAAGCTCCCTTGATTTCTCTCTTCAAAACCTATTCGTTCCTTTATCCAAGGGTCATTGAAGAATTCATGTATATGAATTGCCTTCCTTTTTTCTTCCTTGCATTGTCTTTCTTACCATTCCCATCATCTAATGCAAATCTAGCACAATGGCTTCTGTCTTTACTTCTCTATCACGTTTTACTGCTGAAGTTTCTAGCTGGATCACATACTTAGTGACTGAATATTGGCTTCATAATTTTACATTTCTCCTAACCAAAACAAAGCAATATGGTTGTATAGCAAACTTTTCATTCATGAAAAACGGAAAAAGTACTAAAAAGATTACCAGAGTTTTACGTCAGTTGCTCACAAGCCAAGCCGTACGTTACGGAATGCCCATGCAGGAAACGTGGCAGAAGCAGCCACACGAGGGCAAAAAGGAAGACGAATGCCAAAACTATTTTCTCCATATATTGCATCAATTTTTTAGGAGAAAATAACAGTTTATTTTCTGTCTATAAATAACATTTGATCTTTCTTCCTCTCCCAGCCAGAAAAAACAGTCTTAAGTGTTAATTTGGAAGGCGGGAAGAGCTAAGTCTTGAGCCCAAGTCTCCAAGGTCTGCAAGTGAGAAGCCAGGCAGGAGCTCCACTTCCTCATTTTGCAAACTAAAAGGTAAGCATTTTAGTTTTGGTATTATTCTTATTTTTGGCCTTTACAACACATATTTTCTTATCTATTATAACTTTCTGTCTTACTATAGTATACCCTGTGCAGTTTTTTATTAGTGTAATTCTGTGTACCTTGTAACCTTTACAACTCATCCTAATCTACTACTTGGACCATTATTCATCAGTTGCACTTCTAAAAAGTAAAGTAGATGAAGCTGGCTGAATTGAGTGTTGAAGCCTCTTATCTTGATTGGTTGTTGGATGCTAGTTTATCTTGTTCACAAGTTTGTAGCATTGCATGTCTGGCCTGCTTAGTGTTTTACACCTCTACTATACATTAAGGTAGATTTTTTCATAACATGGTCAAAATAACAATACTACTATTAAGGTGGATGTAAAACGTTAAATTTAGAAGAAGGGTTCATGCACTTCCACGATAGTGCATGATAGCTTCTATTCTAGTGGGTGCTGAATCTGAGTCCTCTAACTAGTTCGATCAAATAATTCTTGATTCAAGATTGAATACATGAACTTCAAGTACAAAACTAAATCATTACATTCAGTTATGAAACGTGAAATGTCAAGAATCAAATTCATTCATTTTGTGAGCTGGTATCAAGATTGTGGAACATCAAAAAACCAATTTGAGTGACATATGAACCATAGTTTGAACTCGCATAGTCGAATTATTTGATTTGAGTTAACATGAAAAAGATTGTATGGCTTTTTTTGATAAATTGGAAGCACTTCAGGTGACATATATGTATGGAATATGGCGAGGACAGCGGCATGTCTTATAGAAGGAGATAACAAGCCGACTAGTTCTTGTTAGGTCCTTTATTTTTTTTTCACTTGTTAGGTCCAGTTGGAAGGCCGTCAGATCAATAATTTAGAAAACTAGCTGAATTTTTTTACCTCCTTTGATTTAAAAAAAAAAAAGAAGGAAATTTTACTTTTCAACATGTACAAAGTTTCAGTTAAACTTGTATTGTATTTCCAAAAACATTTTTTCCATTTTTTTCTTTTTGAAATTATTAGGATAGATAATTTAGTCCGATTTTGCTTTCATTTTCCCGAATTTTCTCAAAATCTTATCCAACATTTCTTCTTCAAACTTATTTGTGGCATGCTGTCAAATTGAAAAGACTTGGAATGCAATTTTTTATTTTTTTTGGTTAGTAAATAAGAATCTTGCAATGCAGTTTTCTATTTGTCATTTTATTTATGGTGCATTTATTTGAAATAGCTTCTTAATAACATACACTTTTCTTCCATGAAAACCGTTTAAAAGTACTTACAAGAATCGCAGAAACGTGGCATTTTGCTTTTATTGTTATATTATGCACTTTGTGGCCTTTACAACACACATTTACTTACTTTTCAACTTCTAGCTAGTCTTCCTATGCTATTTTGTGCAATTTTTTATTAGTATTATTTTGTGTACTTTTTAGCCTTTACAACTCATACTAATTTTTCACTTGGACCCTTTGAATGAGTGTTGAAGCCTCTATCTTGTTTGGTTGTTAGATGCATATTTGTCATTTTAACAGGTTTGTAGCATTGTCTCACCAAGAAAGAAAAAAAAGTTTGTAGCATTGCATGTCCGGCCTGCTCATTGTTTTACACCTATGTTACATTAAGGTGGATTCTTAATTTCTTACCACAAAATACAACCAAAACAATAATAATAACTACAACAATAACATCAAGGCAAAGATGTAAAACGTTAAAATAAGGGGAAGGGTCGATGCAATTTCATTGTCGTGGTAACGTTGATGAAAATCGGTGCTGATGATGCAGCTGCTGCAAATCAGCCTGAGTCCTCTAGTTCAACCAAGCAATTCCCGCCTGACAAATTGAACTTGAATAAAAATCAAAATCACAATATTCAGTTATGAAATGTGAAATATATATGTAAGTATTCATCAAATTATTGTTGGGTGAAAAGCTCTACTCATTCTCAAATTCTTTTATATTTATTCTTTAATTTCATACACTGTTTGGGAACGGATTCGAATGCCAGCATGATTTGATTGACCATCCGCCAGCCACCAGCCCACTAAATCGGTGCTTATTAGTTTGCATCTACTATCATTCTTTTTTTTCCCCCCTTTTTGTTCCATGTCTTCCGTCATTTCCTGTCATTGCTTGTCTAACGTGCATATTTGCAGTTTTATTTGTCAAATGTGGTGCTTTGTGGGTTTATAATTAATCTACTGTAAGACATGGACTGATTAAAATCTTGTCAAAAGACCAAACGAAAAAATATTGAAGGTAAAACATCAAAAACCGATTTGAGTAACATATGGAACCAAAGTTGGAATTTGAGACAATATTGTCGAAGTATTTGATTAGATTTATGGCATTTGAGGTGTCTTCGAATTAGGGGTGTGCATCGAAATCGATAATTCGGAACTTTAAATTTGGAATTTTTTGAAATTTTGACATCAAAAAATCCGATCGAATTCAATTTCGAATTCACTAATTCCAAATTCGAATTCGTAGCGAATTCAATTCAGAATTCTGTAAATTTCGATTTCACCGAATTCAAGAACCCTTTTTTTTTCTTTTGGAGTTTTGTTTTGTATTTCTAATTTTTTATTATAATTATATATAAGTTTTGCTAAACTAAATGCTAACTTTGTATAATATATGTTTATGATTATAACATAATATAAAACTAACTTCATAAGAGTTATTATTGTATTGTTAAACAATATAATTATTAGTTAGATGTATTATTATATAATATAAATTTTATATTACATATATTAATATACATATATATATAAATGAATTTGAAATCGAAATTGGTATTCGATTTCCAATTTCACACCGATTTCAAATTGTGAATTCGAAATCGAAATTTCTGATTTGAAAAACCCCATTACTAAAATTATCGAATTCGAACCAAATTTGTATGTTTTGAAATTGGAAAACTCGAATTCCATTCTAATTTCCGATTTACCGATTTCGAAAATTTCAAAGTTAGTCAATAAATCGAAATTTTTCGATTTTGAACACTCCTACTTCGAAATGACATATGCATGGAAATATAACGAGGACCCTCTTCAAAGGACAAAACAGGTGGACTAGCTTCTTGTTAGGTCCAGTTGGAAAGAGGCTACCTAAGTTTTACCTCCTTTGATAAAAGGTGAAAGCAATACTTTTCTACTTAAGGAACACAAAGTTTAAGTGAACTTGTGATCCGTGTAAATAGTTTTCAAGGTATTTGTTTAAAACTTTCAGCATTTAATTATTTTATACAAAAAATATTTAGTATTTTCAGAGCATTTTATAGTATTTTTTTAAATATTTTAAAAGAAGATGGTAAAACTTTCTTTCATCCCACGAAGGAAGGAGCGGGGGACGAGTAGGGGTATGGAAATGAAAAGAAAGAGAGAGGGAGGAGGTAGGGGGAAGGAGGGGAGGGGAGGGTGTGACGGGTGGGAGGAAGGAGGACAAGGTGGGAGAGAGGGGAAGAGAGGGGTGGTTGTCAGGGAAGAGAGGAGGTGGCGGTGGTAGGTGTGTATTTATTTTTTTCTTTTCTTTTGTTTGGATTTTTTTTAAAATTAATACATGTGTCTATATATATATATTTAAAACACCCGTAAAAACATGACTGCCAAACACACCCTGTATTCTATCGAAGAATATTACTCCATTTTGCTTCTCAAATTAACTAGCAAAAGATAGAGTACTCCGTCCGCTTAAACTTTCTTTTTTTTTTTCAAGGTAAACCTAAACTTTTGTCAGAAAAACAGACAGAATAAAGTGCTGACAAGGAGTTCAATACTGACAACTAGATAAAATATAAAACTTTCGTTTCCCTGATTTTTAGAAAATCAATTATTTTTCAGCGTATCTCATGTCCACCAACAAAATGTTTGTCTCCCAATATCTCATCCGCGACATTTCTTCATCAACAATAAAATTGTGGCATGCTGTCACAATGCATTTTTTCATCTGTCGTTTCAGAACTATTTAGGTTCCGTTTCATTTGTTCAACTTCTGAAATGCAGCTTATAAGAAGACTCCAAAATGATTTCTCAAGGCATGCAAATTTAATTCTATACTTGCACCTTTGACTGTATAGTCTCAAATCTCACAGCCACAACTAGTCCTAGCCCTTTGTAAAATGTCACCTTCCGTTTTCTTTCAATCATTTTCGGTTTCCTATATATATATAAGGAGAAGACGTGTCGAAGTGGGCAAAAGGGAAGCTTCAATCTAGAAAGGTCTGTCCCTTGATAATTAATCTGCGTTTTCGGGCCAAATTTCTTTCCCTTGTAAAGGGATGAAAAGGGAGCTGCCACCTCCAAGTCCAATATAAACATTAGTCGTGTTCATATCCCAAAATGTCCCAAGTAGATGGTTTTTGAAGCCCCTATTGGACCCTTCTCTAATGTGACAAGGTCATAAATTTATGTACATTTATTCTCTTCATAAATTTAGTAAAATCCTAAAAATACCGTCCCATATATCTACCATTGTAAATTTGATCTCCCACCTCTTAAACTGCATAGGTGTGTGGTGTCCTCGATTCTCTTCATAACTGGTTTATCTTAGATTATTAAGGACAAACTTGAGAGAGAGTACATTTCTCCTATTTATGAATCATTTTCCAACCCTAAGGAGAATTTTTCAGAGGAATATTAGTACTTTATGTCATTTGTGTCCAGGGAAGGTGTTTATTAGTACCGGTAACATTAGAATTGCCAACTAAGTTGTAATCATCCGTTGCATGTTCAAATCTAGAAGTATGTGCAGGTGTTGACAGGTATATTATCATCCAAAAGGTCTAATTTCACTTTCCATCCAATAATCAAAAGGTCTAATTTCACTTTCTAATCCTTAGTGTCATTATAAATTCTCAATCACACCTTTACTTTTGATTTCGGATGCTTCATAGTCCATAATCATCTCAAATTTTATTCTAAAGCCCTTGCATTTGAGACTCCTTTAACCTAGATTTTCGTCCCTTATCGCCTCAATGCTCATGTACACAACTTACCTTCTTTTCAAAAATATGCACTAACATTAATTAGTCCTTAAGAATCTCAAATTGAAGAGCTGGTTTCTTGGTTTTGTATTTGTTTATTTCATTTACTATATTGGTAAAATTTGGGGCCTTTTGATAACTTGAGGATCAAATATCAACACTAACACAAATGCTATAAACTTTTCTTTCATTGGCCAATGATCTCCTATTTCTTCTACTAAATGGTCTTTCCTTAAGACAAAGTAGCATTTAATTAGAACGTCTTTGCTGTACAGAAACTTTACCTAATGTCTCTAATTTAATAGCTTTTCGATGTCAAACGATGATTAAGAGAATTAAGCAATTCTTGATGATTTAGAATTTTAATCTTGCATGTGCTTTGTCTCCTTTAGTTGCATCTTGTCTTCCGGATTCAATGATTTTTTCATGTGATATGCAGATTTACAATCCAAAAAAAAAAAATTTGTGTGTACGTGAACATTTAATGTCTACATATGTATATATTAAACCAGAACATATTTTTCATCTTTGGTGCCTGTCTGCGCATTCACTGTGTGTGAATGTGTCACACTGGATTGAATCAAATGTTAAGCTGAATTTTTTGATGTGCCTATTTAAATGGAGAAGTCAAAGATGGCATTATACTTGAAGAAGACGAATGTACGGACTGACCTACAAAATCGTGCCACTATTTCATGATCATTATTTTATTGATCTCTGAAATATTCCCATCTGCATCTCAAACTTTTAAAAGTGCTTGAAAACTTGACAATTAAGCATAGGGTAACCACTCAAATGAGTGAATTACTACCATTTCCTTTGTCTTGTTCTCAAACAGCACACCAAGTGGACTGTGAAAGAGATTGAATGGTTATATATATGTGAGAAGGTTTGGTGGACATTGTTGGCGTTTCTCTATAGTTTATTGTGCTGAGAATATGTGTAGTTGATTCTTGTGTCCCTTTTCTTCTTCAAATTGGAAAAGAAAATGACATGCAACAAAATTTTGACGGTAAGATAACACATTAAAGAAAACAACAAACTACTGCTGATTGTTTTTGCATTTTCCGAATATAGAATGGTTTTCCAATCGATGGTTACACTTTCACTAGAAAATTACTCAGTTTTTCTCTCCTTGAAGTTGAGTTTGTACAAGGATCTTTCACAATATAAAGTCAAATTGGAGGTAAAAAAAAAATGTGACAAGATCTGCCATTGTTAAGATTCAGTTAAAGTGTATCTGTTTTCATTTGTGTGTTATTTTCTGCCTGAAAAACACAAGTACAGAACTACAGTAGATTTTTGTTTATTCGTTTTACCAATAACTAAAAAAGAGTAGCTCCAAGAAATAGAAGTACGGAGCTTTAGCAGAGTCAAGTATATTTTTGCACAAAGGCTAAGCTAAGAAACATATCACAGTTGCAATGTGCAGACTTTGGATTATTGTAGGCCTCCTAATTTCCTGAAGTGATCAAGGCTTCTAGGTAGGGATGATCATCCCTATTGGCCTAACTCATGAATTTCAAGATTTTGAATTATTCTGGCAACTTTAGCAATTACGTGACAAGTTTTTCTTTGTTTTTTCGTGGTCGGTGGAAATGCAGTGGAATTGGTAATCGTACAATGACTGCTGCCACAAAATTTACAATCATAAGCAAATTCTCCAAGTTTCTAAGAAGCAGAGACGGTTGCATGAGATCCAAAGCAATGCCTATATCCAGTCCAATGTCGATGGGATGGTGATATAGTTGTTTGTCCATGCACCGCTCAGAATTAGTATCTCTAATCACTTAGACATCCCATGTAAAATGCAGTCTAACCAAGATATCCTACCACAGATGATAACCGACCAAGGGCATGAATCTTTACCTAATTTTTGCACTCATCATGCAAATCAAGATTATAGATTTGGTTTTTGTGTTTCTGTTTTTTATTTCTTGAGAAAAAAAAAAACCAATAAACAAAGTTCTGCATTAGATTCACATTTTTTTAGAAGCAAGAGAGAATGACAACATAGGAGTAAATGTTTAGTAGATCTGAAGAACAACAATCGCCTGAACGTTAAACCCAAGAAGTACTACCTGTATTCGTGGCGAAAAGGAATTAGGCCACCTCTTAATTTAACTTCAGAAAAGTCTTTGGACCTCTCAATTTGTTTTTCTCTAGTCCTATGATGTCTTCCCCTGGCCACATTCTTTACATTTTTGCAGTAGCTTAACTAGACAGGCATGATCCAGATTCGGTGATATCTCTATAGCTGGAAGAAGGGTTCCCTTTATTATTGTCTAATGTTGTGTTTTGACAGTAGTTAAGAACTCTTTGAGTAGATGATTAAGAAAAGATTGTATGGAGCTGATGGAATTTAAGGTGTCTTTTGTTCTTTAATTTGTTTAATGTTTTCTTGGAGACATCACTTTAATGCTGAGTCATAGACTAAAGTCTAAAAAATGGTCAACATTTTTGACTATGAGCTAACATTTGTTGTGGAAAAAGTACGGCTGATTTACGGCTGGTCTTTGAATACAGATTTGCTTGTGTACTGTCGGAAGTTTCCCCGTGATTCCCTTTTATTCTTCATCTTTGTGGCACTGCTCATTCATGCATTTTTTATTGGGGATTTCGTGGCAGTCCAGTTGATTATGTGAGGGTCCATATGAATTTTATGAAGCATTATTGGGGGAAAATGTATGCAATTTTCCAACTTTCCATGAATCGTCGGTTTGTTTTGATAGGGAAAGTGCTTTAAAAATATTGATTTCACAGGATGGATGGATAGGTTTTGTCTATAGCTAGGCAGTAATATCAGGGGATCAGTACCTGAGGAAGGTTTATACATTTCCATGTTCATGTGCTCTGTTAAATTTTAACAAACTGCTGACTACTTCATCTTGCTTCACGCACTAATATAGATCGCTAAATGCAGTATATTTCGGCGCTTGATGCGCCCCTGGTATTGTTCTCTGCATCTTCCCATTTTCTTGGGAGAAAACTGTCCTTAGATGATGCCACGAGTGCCTGCCTATTCCTGCTGGAAAACTGGACTGAAAAATCAGCTGATTTTTGGCCTAACTTTTAGACACATCTGAATGAAGTGATACTGCTCATCTAACTTTTGTTCATAACTGAAATCTACCGATGACTATCATTGAAAAATGTTTAATACGAATCGCACACTTTATAATACTATGATTGATTAGGTTAGCAACCTGCTGATTTTAGTCAAGATTTGGAATGTTATGCTTGAGATGTTGTATATTCTTTCTCATGCTAGCTCTGAATTTGAAGAGACATTTTCTTTTTTTCTTGTTACTGATATCAGTGTTAGTAATTCCAACGTACGTGTAAAATTACATTTAGCTTTGGTAAAGCTGCCATGACATTACATGTCTTCCACAGCCAGTGGAGGTTCAAACTGTTTGCTCTAGAGCAATAAGCTATAAATTGACACAATTTTGTCACCATCCCAGCGCCTGGATTCCTCCATTTTGTATCAACTAGAGTCGTATTCCTTTCGCCATTTGGTAGATTAACTTGCAAGTTCTTGTAGCTGATTGTTAAGCTTGCCGTGTCTGCCAAAAGCTGCAATTTGTTTACCTTACTAGTTCGTGCTTTCTGTTTTCACTCCACTGTGAATTTAGGCAAGTCACTTTAACAAATAGAGTTGATGCTTAACCACTTCTAAAGCTGAAAGATTCTGTAACTGGTTCTACATCGATTCTGCTGTCTAATAATCTAAAACTGTATATCTATAATTTCTGGCAGCCACATAATAGTTTGGTTGGCACTGTTGCACAGCCTGCAATAGGATTGCTGTCTACTCCCCGGCAAGAATCAGCCAAGTGGTAGATCTATAGCTTTGGCATGGCAGATAATGCTGTTCTGGCTTCCCCTGAGAGAAAATGGAATTTTCCACTCTTGGTTTTCTTCGAAGATGTTAGGTACATTTTCGGGATGCTATTGCAATCTTTCAACTTGTTAAGATAATCCAAGTGCTCTTAGTTTCAGCTCTGCCTCCAAACACCATCTGTTAGTAACGAATGGTTCCTGAAAAGTAATCTGGGACCCTAAAAATGAGCCAAAAACTCATTTTTTGATTTGGAGGGACGGACGGTTCTATGCTTGAAGGTGACACTGCTTTTTTGACTGAATCTTTTCTCAGGAGTGTCTTCAAATTGGATGATCTTGGCTTGGAGATCTTGCGCATTGCATTTCCTGCAGCTCTTGCATTGGCTGCTGACCCCATTGCTTCTCTGATTGATACAGCATTTATTGGCCATCTGGGTATGCTTTATAATCCCTTTCCATTACCTTAAGCACATTTATCTATCATAAGCCAAAATTATGTCCAGAACGCCTCCTTATGTGGATAAGTCCAACTACAGACTATGACGATTCTGATATATTGGAAACAGATTACCACAAATGGTTACTGATCAACTTTTCCTAACTGTGCAGGTCCAGTAGAAATTGCAGCTGTTGGTGTTGCAATTGCTATTTTCAATCAAGTGTCAAAGGTAGCCATATTCCCGATAGTTAATATTACAACCTCCTTTGTTGCTGAGGAAGACACAGTCAAAAGAATAGCTGATGAATCGCAAGCCAATGACTTGGAGAAAGGTTCAGTAAAGATCAATGAAACAGAAGAACAGACGCCAGAAGATGCTAAGGTGGAGAAGTTGGATACTTCAGGCCCTGAGAATGAACCAAAGGAGTTCGAGAAGGAATGTGGTATGTTTCCTTACCTGAAGAGCTCAGATGGATGAGCAGCTTATTTTGGTGAAGTGTATATGTGCAGGTCGTGTCATAACTTCTGAGGATCAAAAGGTATATATATATTAACTCGTTTTCTTTCTTCAATCAGATTTTAAAACAGCTTCATGCAAATCTTCACCTGTAACTAAAAAATCTGCTGCTGAGGGAAAACACAAACCTGAGAGGCGACATATCCCTTCAGCATCAACTGCGCTGGTTGTTGGTGGTGTGCTTGGCCTTCTCCAAACAGTGTTGCTTATATTTCTGGCAAAACCCATCCTTGGATTCATGGGAGTGAAATCTGTGAGTATTAGGAGTACTTACACCTCCAGAAAAATGCATCGAACTCTAGGATTCAGGCTTCACACTTCCAACACTCTGTAAGGTGATAACATCTTAATGCCATTTGTCCTTTTTTGGATCAAATAGGGATCTCCAATGCTGGCCCCAGCACAGAAGTATCTAACACTGAGGGCACTTGGTTCTCCTGCTGTTGCACTTTCTTTGGCCATGCAAGGCGTCTTTCGAGGTTTCAAGGATACTAAAACTCCTCTGTACGCCACTGGTAATGCATTCCTTCAATGACAATTGAACCACAAAAGATCCAGCAGCGTAATTCAATGCATGAAATGCAAGGCTTTCCATCCCTCACCAAGTTGACAATCATAGACTGCCCAAGGTTGATGTCACTGCCCTGCCCTCCATCTTTGGAAGAACTGTGATCCACAATATTACAGAGGAACTTCAGAGGTCACTAATTTCTGTACAAGCAATATCCTTATCCAGTCTTCCTGAATAGAAATGTAATTCGTGAGGATCCAAAATCCTTTCAAGTGGAGGAGGCTGAAATTCTAGTTTCTCTTTAATAAATATTTGTAGTTATGTCGTCATTCTAATTTTAATTATTTTTGCTAGAAGCAATGTGTTGCATAAGTTTTGCAGATAGTACAATCACTTGAAAGCTACTTCTGCAAAACTACAACTGAGAAACAGTTCTGTAGTTGGCAATGATTGTCGCATATTCTATATGTCCATTTCAGTTCCAAGTGCTTTGACTGTCCACCATAGGTTTATAGATGAACAGCCATGCCTGTGAAATTAATTAGAACTGGCACCTGTTGTATTACTTCTGTACCATCTTATATTTGTTTTATATGCTGATATATACTTTAGGCCTTGTGATATCTTCTGTAAGCAAAACGTCCTTGTAGGTCCTGAAAACTGTCGGTATCATCCACAAGCAGTTCACTTTTATTCAAGGCTATTGTTTTTGTCATCTGCAAGACAAACCAGTTGTAAGTCCTGAATGCTGTTGGTATCATCCACAAGCTGTTCGATAATTTATTCAAGGCTAATTATTGTCATCTCAATAGAAGCCAGCTAGCTAATTACGCTGTCGAAAAATTTTTCAAGCATGGTTAGAAGTACTTGAGGCAACCAAATGTACTCAGTAGCTCATTCCTGAATTTACAGGTGCTTATCATTTTACAATTCTCTGGTATGCTGTTGCTTGATAACAAGAAAATGCTCAACTTTACTTCACACTTCCAAGGAATGAAGAGCTATTAATCCCAATCAACAACTAATCTAGGATGGCTTATGGCATTTTTCTGCTAAGTCTGCAGATAGGAATTTTAAGATGTCATGTGACACATTCCTGATTAGTACGGCCAATGGGATGTAGGATATGTATCATGCTATCAAGGGGAACTCTGTCAGAATTGATAAGGCAAACCTGGAATTGCAGTCTGCCCGCCAGATTCATAATGCACAAGGATAGAACAAAGTCATCGAAAACAAAAAGAATTTTCTGGACTTGCAGAATGCGTGGAACAGAAATACCTAGCTCATTATTTAGGAAAAAAAAAAAGACATCTTCAGTCATGGAATAATTAATCAGTACTTGTTACTTATTTCTTTGTTCTTACAACCTTCTATGACTGCATTTTGCTTTTCTGGTTTAGCATTTTCCGGATGAATGAATGCAACGGCCATAACGAATTTGAAATTTTAAACGTTCTGTGAAGCAGCATTATACTGTTTCACTCCAACTAAAGACGTTACAGATCATCATTCTTCCAAAGGTACACTGGGGACAAAGTACTAAATGCATGTATTAAAAATAGAATATACAGGGCTAGAGCCATCTATATGAATGATTAGCAGCATTTGCAGATTGCTGAAGCAAAAGGATTGAAATGCTGGAAGAAACATCTCCCTTCAGTCTCTTTTCTCAGTATTTGTTTCATCTGACGGCCATATGATGGTTTCCATTAGTCGCTCACGCATCAGTTCCAAGTTCTGATCCGAAATTTTCGTTGTATATTTCACCATGATTACATGCCTATATCAATATCAGGCACAATATAACATCAGTTAACTTCATGATCCCCGGTTGAGTTGTCTTCCGACAAAATCTGAGTTATTTTACCTAGAGAAATTGATAGCTTGCATTCCATTTTCCACATGCATTATAGCCAGCATTGCAACAGATTCTTTACAAAACACGTTGTTCACGTATCAACTAGTAAAGGAATTACTAATAATGAAATACCAGCCAAAAAAGGGATACCTTAATCCATTTCCCATACAGGTGAAGCCGTGTTATCATCACTCTTTCAGCAAGATCCTGCCTTTCCTGTAGTTAGTAATAGAGAAGATTCAAATCAGCTAGTTTCTGCAACTTTTAACAACTTTTTTCAGTTTTAGTTTGCCGCCGATTGTGAAAGTAAAGACTTGCTTTCACTTCTCCATTTTCAGTGGCTCAAGAAATTCCTGGATTCAGATTTCAGATCAAAGGGAAAATAAAAGAAAATAAAAGAAAAGAAAAGAAGAGATGTAACAAGATTCAGAACTTGAGCTCTTCTCAATTTTACCTTTGCAAGCTTTTGAAGGAAACCCTTCCCCGTGTTAGGCACATTGTCTGCAACAAAGCTGCACAGATAGAAAATGACTTGAAATACATGCTACAATAAACAAGTGAATGCAAGACCCACTTAAATAAAAGCTAATCTTCTTATAAGAGAGCTAAAAGGGACAACTGCTTTGAAGGTTAAGAATGGAGAATGTTTCAAATGATATGGCCAGCTCATGGTTTTATGATATATATACTGAAGAAAAAGATTTGTGTTAACTTCATTCCACCAGAGCTACGATTTCCCATTTTTAAACAGCAAAATTGTCCATAAAGAGCTATTGATATTACTTATGCAGAGAGTAGGTCAAAGTGCATATTTCAAACAAAAATTTTTCATTTGATTGCTTCAAAAACTCAAAAAAAAAGTATGCAGACTTCTGAATCAGAGGTCTTGAAACAATCAGAATCTGATTTTCCTCAAACTGTCAACATTCACATCGATCTCTTTCTTCTTCTACCATCTATTGTAGTGTCCTCAGATGCAGAATATGAAGATTATGGTTGACGTACTTGTGAAACCAAGTGTATTTTGGTGGGTTCATCTCATAGAGTTGGTTAAGAACAGTCCTCACAGCTTTATATGTCAAGTAGTTGATTATTTCCTGCAAAACACAAAAGCTTTTCTGTGAAGGTGAGGAGGATTGCCATTCCCCGAGAAGAGGGGCAAAGAACATACTAATAGAGATAGACATGACTGACTTTTGAAACACCAAAACATCAAGAACTGCATTCCTTTGCATATACGTCCACTGGTTATATGTCTACTTCTGCAACTTTTAGATGAAAACTATCACCATGGGATGTCAAACAAACTAAGTCCAGATATCTGGTCTATTGAATTTATCCAAGTAATTAACTGTATCAAAATGGTACTGCATGATTGCTACAAGAAAAAAAAATCTGAATTCTGTCAAACGTACTCGTTTAAATTACCCAATACCAATGAACTCTGTTTCAAACTCAAAAAAGAGTTTAAGATCCAATAAATAAACACAAGGTATTGAACCTTTACAGATTACCATACAATTGCTTTTTTAATTCAGTGGATTGCTCTGTGATGCAAGCATACCAATTAAATACCAATGCTCCCTTCAACTTCTTTACATGTTCCATAATTACCAGAAGTCAATGCATCCCAGAAGGAAACCTTTACATGTTCCATCGATGTAGCTGTCAACTCAGGAAAAAGGCCTTCAGCCTCTTGTTATTTTAGGATTAAAGTCTAACCCAACCCCCCCCCCCCCCCTTTCTCTCTTTCGGTTGTTCCCCTAGAAAGATGGGCAAAAGGCAAGAAGAAAAAACTACACCACCGGAAAAACAATCATGAAGATACTAATGAATCAATGTATCAGCACCATTGCAATCTTCGACAGCAAAAACAAGTACTATAACTTATAACAGCGACCAAAAAAATCGGCCTTACATCTTTCACATCATCAAAACCTTCCTCATATTGTCCTCCAAACTCATCAACAATGCTAAGATGACGAAGCTTCTTTTTCATTTTTGAAGAACCTCGTGTACCACAAGAAAGCCTTTTCATGGACCTGGTATCCAAGAAAGAGCTGCCAAATCCACAGACTTCAGTTTCTTCACATTCCTTCTCCCTGACAAGTTCTTGGACAAGACCAAATCCACGTTAGTCTTGACACTCAAGCTACCTGATACCATGGAGTCCAAGCATAGACAGGCACAACTACGAGCATCAGTGAAAGATCTGACAGCTGCAGCTCCAGCCATCCTGTGACCCAAGACTGCAGAACTATTAGAAGAATTTTGTCTACTCGGGCAAATTCAAGACCACGATATAACAGAAAACTCTCTAGTGTCCCGATACATGACACTAGAAAGAGATAATAGCATACCAGAAAAAGTAGTGGGAGAGCTGAAAGTGGAATATGGAACAGGTGAACCTTTTGTTCCTGGTTTAACACATACCCCCACCAAAAATGAAAAAGAAAAAAAAAAATCTTCTGCTTGGGGAGCCGATTTCCAACATAAAAATTATCCCGACTTTCTTAATATTTTCTGAGGTCCCAGTTTTTCAATAAAAACTCTTCAGTAAACGTGTTCAGGTGTGTGTAGTTTCTTTGCCAAACTTATCCTGAAATCGAGCACGTGTGCCAACTGGAACCATCCTTTTTATGGATGCTGATACGTCCAAGATTCCTCAATGGGCATAGAACTGCTTGAAAACAAGTATTGCAAAACAAGGGCGAGATTCTGTTAAGATTCCTGAAGTGAAGTTCACCTGACAGTAATCCAGTTGACAAGAGTTTAACTTCACCCCCTGAAGCACCATGCCCGCGCCATGGTTAACTATATAGTATTAGTTATGTGAGTTGATGTCTCGCTAAATTTAGGTTTTGTATTATTTATTTGAGCTGCTAAGTTTAGGTTACTCTGAAATACAAAATAAGCTGCTCACAACATTTTAAATTGCAATTTTACATAGCAAAATAGAGCAAAAGCTGCTAAACAAATGAATGACTACATTACTGAATAAATGAACTGCCTAGCGCATGCACTAAATTACAAGGGTGCTTGCTATCATTTGGGTATGAAGTGGGCTTAGAAAAACAAATACAATAAACAGATCTGGGCAATCTCTCCTTTTCAAGAAAGCTTAACCAAAAAAATTTACTCGTTCTGTTCATAGCACATCTTTGGAACAGTGTATATTACTACTAATTTCTGCACAAAATGTATGACTTCACAGACAAAAAAGGTACACGGCCAAGGCCTGCGCCAATAAAAAACCAACGAGCATCACATGGCTGAGACCACCACCCCTTGCTTCACTAAAGGGTTTGTCTGGAATGAGGTTGTTGTTCGAGATCTCGCGATTTATTAACAGTTAATTCCACACTGCTCAACATCCGGGCCAGTAACTCTGGTGGTGAAGGGCATCGATCCGCACCCACAACAAAGAGAAGATGGAAGCAAGAAGGATTGACCACACGACCACAATGGTAGGTGTCCGGTTTTGGCGACCCATCAAACCTTTGAGGAAAGGATAGAGATGAACGATCACCCAGAAGGCAAAGAATAGCTTTCCAAAGAGGGGACCCCAAGACTGGTAACCACTGTTGATTGCATAGGAAATGCCTGCAACAACACCAACCAAGTTTACAACGAGGAGAGTTGTGGGTGGTATCAGAAGGGTTGTCCATTTGAACATGTAGAGTTCTGCAAAATCGCCGTCCTCATCTGATGCCTTGGATGTGACAGTGAAGTTGGTATCAATTCCAGCAAGCACCTTGAGCAACCCTTGGACGACAGCAAAAAGATGAGCAGAGACACCACCAATGACCCAAAACTGTTCATTCCTCCACCATTCATCAATGCCAACACCACTCCAACGCATCTCAAGGATACCAGTGGCAAAGATTGAAAGAAAGAGGGATATAAACCATATGCTGGCAAAGTTACTAATCTGCAACAAAAATGAGATTCAGTAAGTTAGACGAAATAATGTTCATGAACTTTCCTTTTCAGATGCCTAAGATGCCAATATCAAATGCTGTTCTCAATTTAAATCAAGTGCTAATAGCGATGCTGAACACTAGCATGGTAAACGGTGACATGGAATATCTTTTCCTTTATAACACACAGAGAGGCGGTGAGGAAGAAATCGAAAGCAAAGATCCATAAATGGAACACTTTCAGAATAACAACCAGCTAAATGCAACCACATAGTGACTTGAATGCAATCGACTATGGAATTTTCCATTAGTAGCACAGTACAAAAGTAATTACTGAACAGAATAACTACTGACATTATGTAGTAATTGAGAGCCAAAAAAAATACAAAAAAAAGGTAGACAGCACAAACCTGCGGAATAATAAACTTCCCAGTAGTAGACAGACAGCAGGCAAAGTACAATAGATAAGGAGAGGAATGGCAGTGACTGGGTAAATGGTTGTATTGACATATGCAAATCTCTCTAGCCACTTCAGCCTTCCACCATACCCATACCATATGGGGCAATGCCGGCTGAAAAGAATTTCCACGGATCCTAAAGCCCATCGAAGCACCTGGTTCAGACGATCAGAAAGATTGATTGGAGCTGACCCTTGAATGCAGGCCTCTGAGGCATGCAGTAAACTGAACGCCAACCACGGGCATGCATCTTGAATCCTGTGAGAATATCTTCTGTGACGGAACCATAAATCCACCCAATCTGCAGAGACGGCATGAGTAAAAAGAATGATTAATCTCATGTGCAGACATAAAGTTGATCAAAAGTTGCACCAAAGATGTCATGATAATCAGGAAGGGCATGTGAAGGCAAAGAGTCAAAATTTCTCATGTTCAATATTACAATAAAAAATCAGTAACTAAAGCTCATGGAAACAGATTGGCATTCAAAAAAGATTAATGCAATGTGGAAGTGATCAAAGTTTCTTTGTCATAGTTTGTAGAGTATGTTTAATTCAGAAAAAACAAAGGCTTTATTTCACATAACCTAGGTTGAGGTTTGGTTAGATTTATCTATTGAGCAGATTTGGATTACTGATTTATTTCATATATAAACTACAGATTTGGGCTTATCGTGTGGTTTACGAACAAATCTCATATAAACTACATTCCCAGTAAACATCTATATGAGAACTAGAATCCTTCAATATTCAGGAACGATTTAGAGTTCCTCCGAATGATTTTATTCTTCTCAACACTTTCCTACGGTAGAGGTAACTAAAATTTGTTTTCAGACTCGCTGAAACCACATACCTAAGTTGATAGATGAGCAACGCAATTAACAATTCTAATTCAGTGAAACTATTCTACTTATGTTTGTCCGATTCAAAGAAACATTTATAAAACAGCCAATTCAAACAGTTTCAACATTAATTAGCAAATTCACAATACCTCACTTCCCCATTCTGCTTTATCCTCGTATCCACAACTAATCACATGAATTGCCTCTTTGAGAAGTGTCTCTGGCGTAGCAGACTGAGGGACACCACCATTCTCCATAAGCGTTGAAGCAACAAAAACAGCAGACTGACCAAATCTTTTCTCAAGGCTCATTTGTGACATCAACAATGACTTCTCATCATCAAATCCAGCACCTATTACCATTGAAAAGAATCATAGAGTCAGAACTTAATATTAAAAACCAGTTCAAAGAAAGATGACACTCTAGATAACGTCAAGTAGATCTTTTAAGAGAGTATGAAATTCTTTCAAGAGAACCAAAATTTCATGCGTCAGCAAAGAGATATTTAGTGGTATTAAAACTGCTAAGGTGAAGTGGACACTGAGAAGGATTTGTGCCAAGATACACGAACAGTGATATAGTAATAAACAAGATTCAAACTTAAATCAGTCTTACATCTATCGAAACTAGTTCCAACGTACACACACGAGATCCAAACATACAAGCCCACAAACCCGCTCTTACCAGCAAAGTAATCAGCTTTAAACAGGCATCTTACAATTTCTTGATCCTTGGAGAAGAGAGGAAAAAGAAAAGGAAAAAAAAAGAAGAAAAACAACGACAACAACAGGTAGCAGGAAAATAGGAAGTTGACTGTAGGTGTAACTTCATAAATGCCATACAAGCTTGTCAAATATATTAAGCTCATTGCATGTATTGTTTCTCCACTTAAAAAAAACAACGATATCGAAAAGCATATCTGCACCATCCCCACGACTTAATCATGAAAACTATTCCAGAAATCAGGTCTTGTACATTTCCTTGATAAGCTTCATTTAACATAGTAAAATATAAGTTCTTTCCAATCTCTATCAAGAATGCTCATGCATGAAACTAGCCTCCAGCACCAGTGGGTTAGATAAGTATGGAGAGACAGAGAGGGGCAGAGGGGAACAGATGGAGTGTGTGCATATGTGCATGAGTTTCCGTCTCTGCATCTATATAAATATACATTCAAGGTAAGAAACCAAATCAGATGTTATAAAGCAGTCATCTTTTCATATAGCACAAGCATAACACATCCAATAACCAGCATTGTACCTTCAACTCCTTCCTCTATATCCTCCAAGCTGAAGATGGGCACAGTAGGATCAACATGCTTACTAGACTTCTTTTTGTCCGATCCCTTCTTACTTGACTTAGAACTGTTCTTTTTTGATCTACCGAAGCAAGAATAAAATAGACCTGGTTTTTTGTGCTTAGGTTTGTGAGGAGGCTCATAACCATACAGAGCTGTTCTGTTAAAGACACATCCAGTACCCACATAAACTGGTCCTTGAATGCCATCCAAACCTCTCAAGTTTATCTAATGAACATAGAAAAAGAATTATTTTCAGTGGATGGGAAAAAAAACACTCACAATACCATCAAATCTGTGGAAATTGAACATAAAACTTTATATGAAAAATGGATGTCATAGAGAAAAGAAAAAGATAAAGTTAACAAGTAATGAAAAACTCACATCAAAGAACACAGTGTTTCGATTTGCATAACGATCACTCCTATCAATACCATCAAATCTCTGTGGAAATTGAACATAACAAACATATTTTCCAAGGTTGGGATCCATCAGAAAGCACATTGCTTCTCGCAAAGCCTTGCTGTTGTTTACATAGTGATCACAATCAAGATTCAACAAGAAAGGTCCATTTGTAAGAACAGCAGAAACACGAACCTACAGGAAAATGCGGATCATAACTCAATAGAAGTGCCAAGACAAGGACATAAGCAGAATCAGACAATCACTCATTTGCTTACAAGAGCATTCATAGCACCAGCTTTCTTGTGATGTTGGAAGCCTGGACGCTTCTCACGAGAAACATAGACTAATCTAGGCAGTTCATTACCCTCACTGTCAAGACCTCCACTTTGACCCAAGAAAACCTGTTAATAATGAAGGAAAACAGAAATAAACTGAAGCAAGTTAACACACAATGACAACTCAACTTCCTGGTGCATAATACATAAAAATCAAGCAATCGACAGCTCCAATTCCATAAAGCCATCCCCCATCTTAACCCATGAAGCCTGACCAAAAGGCTAACAACTGTTACTTGTCTCCTCCTCCTCCCCCCCCCCCAAAAGCCAAAACACTCACCCCACAAACAGAAAACCAAAAAAACCAAAAAAAAAAATCTCAACAAGCTCAACATAGAGGACAAAAAGACCACAAAATAGAAAAGCGAAATAGAGAAAAATTGACTTACTAGCTTTTAATTAACATGTTACATGGACTGAGCTGACAAAATATTAAAAGGAAGAAAAAGGATACCTGAATCATGCCTGGATGATCCCTAGTGTTATTTCCAGGCCAAGGTGTACCATCTTGCATGATCCATCCTTCTTCAGGAACTTTTTGGGCTTTAGCAACTAGTGCGTTGACACGTATTTTGAACTCCTCATACTCTCTCTACAGAACAAGCAGACAATATAATGTTAAAGTAAGCAAGCACCAAAAGAGCAAGAAAAACTTAATTTTACCAAGTGTAGCTCCTACCTTCATGGCCCTACGATCTTTCGCAAATGAAGGGTGAACTTTATCTTTCAAATAATCGATCTTCTGGGTAAAATACCACTCTGGAGCCCTTGGTTCAATGCTGTACTTTTTGCAGAAAGGAACCCATTTTCTTGCAAATTCTGATGTTTCTGATAGAGCTTCAAATGTCAACATAGCTGCACCATCATCGGAGACATAGCATGACACCTTGTCAACTGGATAGTCAACTGCAAGAATGGACAGGACAGTATTGGCTGTAACAAGAGGAGGCTCCTTCAGAGGATCAACAGTACTGACAAAAATATCAACAGCAGCTAATTGAGATGGCTCCCCTTCACGATCATATCTGTTGCACATAACAGAATTTGCCACTTTAACAACTGAGAGACAGGCCAAGATAGAAAATATTGAACCTGGAAGATTCTATAAAAGAATAAATGATGCAAACAAATAGAGATGGTCTGACCTAAGTGCAAGCCTGTCAAGGTATGTTTCTCGATTAACAGGAAGCCACTTTGGGAACTGATCCAAAATCCAAGATATAGCAAACCAAATCTCACATATCACAGACATCAGCCAAAGAGGAATGCATTGGACACAGGATTTGTTATTCGGTAGTGCAAGAAAATGCAAAGAATAGCTAGCCGGAGGACAATAACCATCCTGTAAGGATTAATCCTGGATGATGGAATAGAAACCTTTCTCGAAAGAGGCTGACGAGCTTCATCATTCCTGTTATCACAAGAAGTAACAAGAAAAAAAAATCAATTGCTAACTGTTTTCATAACAAAACATCAAAGGACCAGAATTTGCTCAGAAGAAGGACAAGCAAGCGGCAAAATGAAATCAGAGTGCAACATATCTTAGAGCATAGAAAAGCATCATATGCAATTAAACAGTTTTAATTTTCGCTATCAGACACATTGATAAACTAGGATAAAGGAAAAGGCCATACACATCCCCACAATTGATAACAATTTGGATACCAAAGAACATGCTCAAGGATCATCCTGTTTTTGTTTAGCAAAAATGCAAATTATGTACTTGCACAGACACAGGACTAGTAGGATAAACAACTTCGGTCAGAAACTCACAGTAGAGAATCATCCACCAACACATCTGTGCTCGCATCAATATCTCCCACTCCTCTTTCAGAAGGAGGATGGCTAGTAGTCATCGGAACAACGTGCTTCTCCTGCTTCATTTTCCATCCATCCACTCTCTCTTTCCAGGCAACATTTCCCAACCCTGGAGAACCAAACTCTCTTACAGGATCCACAACCCGTATATTAGCTGCACATAACAAAATACATTCTTGAGATTCCAATAACAAGAAAAGGCCATGGCATAAACTAAGATGATACACAACAAACAAAGAGAGCTTACGTGATTGATTCACATCAGACCCATAAGGAAGTTGATGGATGCGTTTAACACCACCAGGATGGCCTGGCGATGCCATAGACAGGCGTCCAGGAGATGCTTGAGACAACTCCCCAGAAACCTAAAAATCAAGTGTTACTAAAGATTAGTCTGCTCGTGCTAAAAAATTCAGGCACCAAGTGCAAAATAAGAATCCAAAAACATACATCTGTTCCGTTTGTTAGCAAAGGAATGTTATTGTTGGATACTTCTTTATCATATTTTGGTAACCCAACGTCTTCGCCACGTCCGTAAGTCATATGCCAGCTCAACATGCGCTCGCAACCTTTTGCTTCTCATTTTGAGTTTCTGCAGAGTAACGAACATCACTTACATTATCATCAGCAGAACCATCCTCCTCTCCATCACCATCAATTGCAGGGCTTCCTGCAGTTTGAGAAATTTAGCAATGTCAGACATCAGGTGATGACAAAGTCAATATCTTGATCTTGATAGACAATCCACATATGAACACAGTCAAAGTAGGAATGGACAAAATTAGCAAAATAAATTGTATTATGCCAAAAATCAATAGAAAATCCACATATGACAACTTGCTTGATATTCTATAACATAAGGTGCAATATCAATTTTTCAACTGTGTTATTATGCCAAAAACAACGCCAATTATGGAAAAAGATCTGTTGTTTATCAATTGCTAAAATACTTTTGGAATTCCCTCATTTCTGTATGAAATCTAGTTCTCCTGTGAATGCACTTCAAAGCATCCATCTCTCTAGTAAAGGTACACCTTCAGTCACATTATCAAGCTTTCAGCAATCATACATGAACCACAAAAATCTTGTGCCAAGTATACCTTTATGTCTCTTGTATCTGGTTTTGCACTGAGGGCAAGACTGATTTCCATCCTTCCTCTCATATTCATAACATGGCCTGCATACAGGGAATGCACAGACATCACAAGCAACAAATGGCTCCCCATCCACAGTTTTGCCAACAGTATCACCACAGATCTGGCAAACCTGCCCACCTAAATTCTTCAAGACCTTCCCTGTAATAAAATCATCACATTTTCCAGCATTCAAATACGGTCATTAAATTTACTAATTCACTAAGCTGATAATTAACTTTCATACACATTATATTAAAAAAAAAGTGATCTTGACGACATACACATATCCAATTCAAGAAAATGTTAAAAATGCAGTACCTACAAAACAATTTCATTTTTTTAAGAGCAGCAGAAGAAAAAGGTTTCAATTTTTCCTAAGTTGAATAACCACTAACCTTAGTTTCTCCTTCTGATTCCATGGTCGACTAAATAGCTTCAAATGTCAGCCACTGGATTTGCACTCAAAAATCCAGATCCTCACGCAATGTGAGCAGAATCCACATGCCAAGAACCTTCAAATTCTTCCCTAAAGCAAAATAATCTCTGCAAAAGCAGATCTTTTAAGTAAACAAAGTCCCTCAAATTATAGATCAGATGTAAAATCAAAAAACCGACCTGAAAAGTTAACTTAAAAAAATCACGCTCCACTAAATCTGCAATATCTACGAAGTTTTTTCTGAAATGATACAAATAACCTAATTTTCAATCCCTGATTTTTCTGTAACAAAACTTCAGCTTCCATTCAACATTTAAATGAAGTAAACGAACAGTCAACCTCAACTGATCCCATTACCAAAAACAGAAAATAATTTTGGCATTTACTGACATAATTTTCTCTAATAACCCACTTAAATGAAGCTAGCAAAACAATGCCCACACCCACATGCATCTTTACCCATTAAACCATTCACAATTCAGATCCCAAATCACTTAAAAAAAAAGAAAATGAGGACACGTACCTCAAGATCTAGGCTTTACGGCTTGCAATCTCCGCCGACAAAATTATCCACTACAGTATATCACTAGCCCTGAAAACCCCTTCAATCTCAAACCCGATCAGCACAATTCAGAGCTGAGAGATAACAGAAAGAGTTCCAATGCTGCAAGAATTAACGGAATTGAAATCGACCCAGTTCAGTTCAGACCTCAAAACCGACAGCCCATCAACTCTTCTCTCTCTCTCTCTCTCCTTTCTCTCTCTGAACTCAAGAGAGATGTCTGCGTCTGTGGGCAGCTATTTTCCAGCAATAAGTAATAAAAGGAAAGGTGGGGTATAACTATAAAAACACCAGCAAATTATATCTAATTAGATAAAAATGAGGACTAATAATTGATAAAGAATTGATTTTGGCTTAGAAGAGACGAAAGCGAAAGGGAGCTGTAAATGAGCTGCTGCTAAGAAGTAAGAAAGAGGACGACTTAGTGGAGTTGTTGGGAGTGAGAGATGATGAGATGAGAGTGATAGAGACTGACAGACTCACTCGGGAACTCCACCGACAGCGTAATGCTGGCTGCTAATGGCTAAGACTTTCCTTTTAATTTCTTGTTTTTGATTTTTTTTTTTTACCGTTTGCTAATGGCTAAGGCTTCCTTTTTGAATTTCTTGTTTTTGAATTTTTCTGTATTATTTATTTACCAAATGCCAAATGCAGAAGAAAAAAATAGTCAGTTTGGATTACAATTTTTTGAAAATTTTATATATTTTTATTTGATGAATGTGAGATAAAAAGGTAATTGAAAAATGTGTTCGTTGAGAACGTAAAAATTTTTAGATGGAAAATTGCAATCCAAACAAGGAATTTTATTTTGAAAACTCATAATATGAAGCCTTTAGATATTATCTATTAGGAGTCTGGTGATTTTTTGAAAATTTGAGAAATTTTTAGGCGTGTTTTTTATGCAAAGTGTAAATGGTTGTGATAATTTTTATGAAAATATTTATTAAAATATAACCACACTGAGAAAAATAAGTGAATACTGACCGAGAAATTTTCTAAATCCTTTTCATTATCTCATTTTCTAGTTCATTTTATTCAAACTTTTTTATTGGGGTAAATTTAAGTGAATTTGTTTTGGCTTCTTTTTTTTATTTTTATTTTAAACAACAAGAGTTGATCCATATTAGATGCTTTTTAAGCTTGGTGCTTTTTGGTCTAACTATATTTTAAAATTTTTAAAAATGCTTAAAAGCCTGAACTTTGAATTTTTTTTAAATTCAAACAAAAAATTTTACCAATTTTTCTTTATCTCTTTATTCCTCATTGTTCGGCCTTTTTAATGTAACTTGTTGTTTTTATTTTGTGGTTGATATCTGATAATGCATAAAGAATCACCAATAGTATAGAATCAAGTAGGGGTTTTCATTCAAGTAAGTTTTCTCTCCTAAATGGTGTAGCTAACTAAAAAGAATGGATCCTAAATGGTTTGTCCATCGTCTGTATTTTGCTTATAACAACAAAAAACACACACTCAAAAATTATTAGACACAAGGAAAGAGAATTATTCAAAGCCACGGGTAGTTAGTCTGGTATCATGTATAAGTATAACTAAACTATTTGTTCAAACTCCTCAATTTTTATTTTATTTTTTTGTTAATACGATAGATCTACGCTACTCTATACTAAGAGGAGGAGGGGCCTGAAAAGGGCCAAGGATAACTCGAAAATAATTGAACCACCACCAGTCTAGACGAGTGCGTAGGCACCCGCTGACAATAATTTCAAAATACCTGAATTTTTAGAATATAGATAAGGAGATTTGATCCTTAACCTATACCTAAATAGAGTTTTAAACCTCTTTTGGTAGCAAATATGCTTAAGCAAATTCTGCCATAGCAGATATTTAACTACCACTATAATTTTATATTGAATGCCAAGGTTACCCTTCAATTATCAACACCAACCTCAGGATCCTAAAATATCTTTTAAAATTATAGCCTTGCATTTTCTAAACTCTATCTTGATTCTTTTTTTTTTTTTTTTTGGCTTTAGTGAAAAGTGTCTCGTCTGAGTCATCTCCATCTATCCCGGATGAGGGGCCTGGACGGTTGTCAGAGATAACCGTCCCAGGCAGTTCACGGCTTGGATGAAGCCTCAAAAATTTGTGCGGCTCAAATCACGTCTTGTAACTCGATTTTCACGCCGTGTGGGACCCACAAAAATGTTTTTTATTTTACTCGCTGTTGTTCAATTGTTACACCTTGTACAGATGATGTTACACCATGTACAGATGGTGTTACACCTTCCGGAGCGGTTGTTCTGACAACCGCTCCAGCCCCGCGTCCATCTATCCCCTATGTTTTTTCCTCTGCCGCATTATTGCCACCAGCACCATATTGCGCCTACTTAAACCCATCCTCCTTCCTCATGTGCCAGCTCTTTGAACCCTTTTTTCTCCTCATTTGACCTACTGCATCGCTTCTCTTAACATAGATGTTAGTCGATGTGAGGTTGTGGGTATGAAACTCAATCACAATGGCATTTTTTCTTTTTATTTTCAATAACAAAAGAAATACATTACGTGTTTTTTGACTAACTGGTTTCAGGTGGATTTTGTTGATTCAGATAATTTGAAATCTAATTAGTTGTGAACGCTGAAATTTTTATGTTTATTCTGAACATTAGTTGGGAAAGTTGAGAATTTCAAGACTACATGTTGGTCTTTTGGATTAAATTCTAGTTTGAATGAGCTAGAACTAGGATAAATATGATTTAGTTTAAAAAAAGAACTTGATTGTGTTTATGATTTTTTTTTAGGATAGTTTCACAAGAGGTTTCCATAGCAACTTCAATCACATTTTGTATTCTTCTGTATTTATTAATTTAGTGATTTAGCAAACCAACTCCAAAAGATGGTTCAATCAGGAAGGAAAGAGATCAAGAGGGTAGGTGATAGGGAAACAAAAAATATGATTTATGAAGGGTATTATGGTCATTAAAAGTAAGAATTACTATGGCCGGAAGATTATACTGTGGCAATATCAGTCGCTGAGTTGCGAGGTATATTGCAAAAAGAAATAAGAAAAGTGAAGGAAAAAAATCAAATTAGTTAGCCAAAATCATATCTCAATGCATATAATGAACCATTTAATCGGTCTAAATTCTTCAAAAGTTTTGCACAATTTGTACAATTTCTGTCAACATGAATCCAGTGCACAGTCCGCGAACACATTGTAGGATAGATTGTTGGCCTATTTCTACCGCGAATCTGCAACCAAAAAAAAAAAAAAATCTTGGTCCAATAAGTGAATCGCTTGTTTTGCTCTATTCTACTTGAGGCTTTTGCTCTTTGTTTTCAATCCATGCAGTTAGAATCTGTCCACGGATTGGTAAATTAAGTTTTAGTTCTTTGTTCTTCTTTCCTCACGTGCATTGCATTTTTCAATTTCCAAAGCTAGCAATTCTCTATTCAATTGAAGCTACAAAGTAGATATAGCTCCACGCATACTTTAAGAATTGATTTGCAACATATTTCGAGCCATTATGTTTTGTCAATCCAATATATAAAGAAAGGTGGAAATACCAAATCAATCAAAATAAACAGAGTATACATGCCAACTATGTTCCATTCTGCTTAGCCAATTCAACCAAAAAAAAAGGGTAGAGTACAGAAAAATCCCTTGCAGTCAAGCAAATCTACGGAAAAGCTCTTTCTAGTTTCAAAACATACACTTTGATATCTCGTGATTTGAACTAATTTCATAAAACGACGGAAATCATTTGAATTAAAAGGTTTGGAATACACGTGCCTCTTTTGCGAGTATTTATACTTAAAAAAAACAAAATTTCAATTGATATACCCTTAGAATTAAGTAAAAGTGTATAATGCAAAAAAACCACTCTATGGTTACGCAAATCTACAAAAAAAAAAAAAATCCTTTATAATTTCAAATCATACAATCTAGTACCTCGTAATTTGAACAAATGTGAAAAATTAATGAAAAATATATAAATTAACAAGTTTGAAATAAATGCAGTTGTATTACAAGTGCTTGATCAAGAAAATAATTTTTAAATCAAAATTTTAGCTAATTTGCCAATTAAATCTCCTAGAGCTTACAAAATTCTCAAAAAACAACCCAAAACTATCAAATACAACTCACATTGTTTCTATTCATATATCTAATAAATAAAATCTCCCAAAATCAACTTACCTTATTTCTGTACATAAAGTAACTAAATAAATAAATAAAATACCACTCTCATCTCTTTCTATGCAACTATCTCCACCTCTTGCCACCACAACTCTCTTTATTCCATTGCCACTCTCTCCTTCAACACCATCTCCCTCCCTCTTATTCTTCGTCCTCTCCTTTCCCCCTCTCTCCCCTTTTCTCTCATTTCCTACATCTTGCTATATCTTATTCTCGCATGGCCATTTCCCCACACCCTTTCTCTTTCCAGCGACCATAGCTAATCGTGAGAAAGAGGGAAGAGGGTGTGGGATAAGGTCACGACTAGATCATCACTTTCCCAGGATGGTTTTTCTGTAGGTTTCCTCAATTAAGATAGTTGTTAGAATGTCTTTTTTTGCTTTTATACACACACACACACACTAGGGTAATTATGTTATTTCATCCGTCTCCGTTGGTTTTGACAATTTTCGTTGTTGTTTCCAATTAGTTCAAACCACGAGAGATTAAAGTGTATGATTTGAAATCATAAAGAACTTTTTCGTAGGTTAGCTCAATCATTGAGAGTCTTTTTTGTATTTTACCCAAAAAAAAATAGATATGTGTGTGTGTGTGTGACATAATATACATCAGGGTTCTTTTTATCCATTTCTCGAACTTGGCCAAAACCTAAAAGGAAAAATTACAACCAAATAGAACATACAATACCTATATGCATGAGTCAAACTGTGTTGAATAAAAACTAACATTTATTTCTTCAACAAAGTTTTGAATAGTAGGACATAGGTGCAAATCCCCAAATCAAAGAAAGCAATTATTCACAAGTTGTCAAGAGAATATAGACTTAAGAATCAAAGGAGGACAAGCTTAACTGGGCATGAGAAGATGAATGAAACTTAAGTGATAAGTTTTATTTTTCAAAATTCTAACTTCTTGTTATTGGTAGAGTTCAAAATTTGACTTAAATAAATCAGAAGATTACAATAAAGAAGGAAAAAAAAGTACGGAGATAGGCCATATATGAATTTGGAAAATGGAGTTCAAAAACAATTAAATGCTTACAACAAAGAATAGAAAAATAATATAGGGATAGATATGCATGACA